GAAAGCAAGCCACCAGGTCCAGGACTCAATTACCGTCGGCCATGTGTGAGCCCAGCGTGTTAACCGTGACACCACTGCTGGCCTCAATGCCTCCATATTTTAAAGATGTTTCATTATGAGAAATCCAGTGCATGAACAATGTAAATAGAATAGTATATGGATGCTCAGTTGCGGCAGCTACAACGTTCCGCTGTTCTTGATTAGCGTCATGTATTTTACAACTGGGATTCCACTTATTTATTTTTTAAAGAATTATTTATTTAATTTTATTTATTCATTCATTTATTTTAATTTGACCAGAGAGAGAGAGAGACAGAGAACAAGCTGTCAGGTCTGGGACTCAAACCACGGTCGGCCCTGTGGGAGTCCATTCATTTACACACACACAGACACACAGATGGCCTTCCCAGACTCAGCTGTGTCAGTGAATAGCTGTGTAATCCTGGGAAGGTTACCTAACCTCTCTTGTCCCCACCTGCAATGAAGCGGACAGTCCCTGATGCTGAGAGCTGTGGTGGGGAAGGACCTCCTCCGTGTCTGTCCCCGGCAGGTTGGGCAGTGCTGAGTGTGGAAGCAAAGATGCAGGAAGGGGGCTTAGACCACAGCCACTTAGGCCTTTTTATAGAATAGTGTCTTCGGTAAGATTTCATCTGACAAACGGGCTGCAATGCTTCAGAAAAGCTAGGAAAGGTGGTCTGAAACCACCAGTGTAATGAAGATAAAGGACTTGGCACCGCTGTGCGTGTGTTGGCTTTACCCTCTGCCTCCCCCAACGTCCTTTTGTCTTTTCAAATCACCTTTTTTTTACTTGTTAAAATCACTTTCTGAGCCAAGGGACACTTTTTAATTAAAGCAAGAAAGCGCGAGAGAGGATGGGGCGTGAGGGCGGGGCGACAAGGGTGTCCTGACTGAGGTTGGGTTGCACAAGTCAGTCTGGAATTAGCATCAGTGCCTCACATCTCCTGCTCCCCACCCTCCTGCGAGATCTTGAGCTCCTACCGCCTGCCCCAGGCCTGCGCTCCGCAGGGTCTGCTTTCCTAATCGGTCGTCAGTTTCCAGTCCCCGTTGCTGAGCTTGTCGCGAGTTCAAGTCCCTCTTCTCCCAGAGGCGATGGCTCTCCTGCGTGTCCCCAGGCCACGCAGCGCTGGGGTGACACCCCTCCGCCCCCGCCCGAGCCGCGCTGCCCAGCTCCGCCCTCCCTGGCCTGGGTGGGACAGTCCCGAGCCCACGCGCCCTCCCAGCCCCCGCGCCATGCCGGTGCCCGCCCATCGCCTCCAGCCGAGGTGCTCGGCGAGCGCGCCCGGGAAGGCTCTCCGCCCCGCGCCGAGCACTGGGCCTGGCAGACGCCCCGAGATTGTTGTGAGGAGTCTCGCCAGTTGGTGAGCGCTGTAATCTGAACCAGCTGTGTCCAGACTGAGGCCCCATTTGCATTGTTTAACATACTTAGAAAATGAAGTGTTCATTTTTAACATTCCTCCTCCAATTGGTTTAATGCTGAATTACTGAAGAGGGCTAAGCAAAACCAGGTGCTGGCTTCGTGGGCTCTGCAGTGGCTCGGAGGACCCAGCGCTCTCCCCTGTCCTCCGCGCGACTCGCTCGGCCCCTCTGGAATAAAAATAGCAGCGAGCCCCCAGGGCCCAGACGAAGCCGGAGCGCCGGGACTTCTCCCAGGGTCCGGCCTGTGAGCTCTTTCTCGGCCCCCTTCGCTCCTCGCTCTCGCGCATCTTGGACATGCCAGGATTAAAAAGGTAGGTTTGGGCGCCGGACTTTCTCCAGGACCTGGAACCCTGATGGGTGGAAAATCGCAATGGCTGTGATTCAGGCCATTGGAAAAGGCATTAGCTAGTGATGCAATGGTATCCTTAATTATAAAAAGCTGCGCCTCCGCGCGCTCCATCTCGAAGCCTTCTTTCGGGAGTGGGTATTTTCTAACACGGCTTCGGAAATCGGCGTGTGGGAGAGGTCTGCAAAAAACCCAGCGCGGTATTCCACTTTCCCTCAAGGGCAGCAACTTGTCAACGTGGGCAAGATGAAGCGTTCTTTTTAAAATATAGTTTATACATTGAGGAGCCCGATTACTAGCTCGCTAGCTACGGCTAGCTGTAATTTTGCTGCCTCGGCTGTTGGACAAGGGCACAGGCAGCTGAACATCGGGCTGGGCTCGCTCGATGTCTGTGTGGGATTCACAAAGGCCACGGGACCCAGAAGTCTGGAGCCAATGAGCGGTGGGGACCGCAGGCAGAGGCCCATGTAAGCACATGTTTTGTTATTCTTTAAGGAAATTGCAGTTCCACTTGAGTAATCCTTAGATCTTGGAGAACATTATCTAGGTGACATCTGCACTGTCTTTATCAAGCAAACTCCTGAAAACACAGAGGCTGTAACAAACTCCCCCTGTGCATGTATAGAGTGTGTGTGTGTGGGTGTGTGCACGCTGAAAACTAAGCTCTGATGTCACCGGGGGTTGGGAACCAGCACTTCTCTGGACACAGGGCTGGCATTTGGTTTGTCTCTTCAGCCTTCACCTGCTTTAGGACGTTTGCAGGACCAGTTGTGGTTCTATAGTTAGTTCGTTTCGGGAGTTTTCTAGAATTTTCGCAGACAAGGTACAGCTCTTCAGGACACTGTGAGGACACGGGCGCTCAGGGATTATTGTCTTGTAGGAAAACCTTCTCTACGACCTCGGAACTCGGTCGGCCCCCGAGACCCAGTCGTGGCTCTTCTGGGACTTGAGGCTGTACCCCTGCAGTCCTGGGGCTGCCTCTAGCCAAAGGGGATGGGGAGTGGGGAGTGGGGAGTAAGGAGTAGGGGGAGAAATGGGGCTTGCACGCCTTTTCCACTAGCTCTTAAAGTCCACTGCATGCAGTCAGCCTGTTCTGTCTCCAACATAAACGAGACAGGGTTTTATAACCAACCGAAAGGAAACTTCATGCGAAGAAACAGGAAAACATTGAAATTCATAATATACAGGCTGGAAAATAAATTTGTTATTGTTCTTTCATTCCTTCCAGATATAAATCTGGCCGTTTGCAAATATCAAAAAGCCCCAGGATTTGGCTCTGCGCTTTATAAGGTCAGAGCTGTCTCCAGTGTTCTAGAACCTGGCTCACGGAGGTGCTTAGATGGAATGAGGAATTGTGGACACTCAGGGTTCTTATGTTTTGGATCAGGGAGAAACTGAAGGGAGGGGGCTTGCCCCTCCTAGCTCCTCGTCAGGGCTGTGTTCCCTCTGGATGTCACCCTAACTCCGGGCCCTCCCACAGAGAGGGTCACTGATTCAGATGAGCCCTGTGTCAGGGGTGTGAGCTGCCTTTGTGACCTGCAGGACACTCCTTTTATAAAGTGGCTGTGCACATGGGCAATAGCACATCACTGAATCCAGCCAAGTCCCCCAATCCACCCGTCCCTGCTTTGGGGCCAGTCGGTGGTGCCATGGTTAAGGTGGCTGAATGTGGCGTGGTTTGGAGTCCCAGATCTGGCAACTTGAGAAATGTGAAGGGGACACGAGGCACTTTGAAGGACGCTGTCACAGATCACTCAATCGCACTGGGCTCCTGGTCCACACACAGGAACATCCCTGGTCAAAGGAAGGGCCTGATGGCACAGTGCCTGACATGTGCCCTGCTAGTGTGGCCCGCAGGAACTGCCGCCAGCAGCTCCTGACAGAAGAGGACTACACCGCTCCGAAAAGAAGGAACAGTAAAACTTCGAGGGAAGGGTCAAGAAACCCGGCTCAGCCACCTCTGCACGCATGTGCATGTGTGACCGAAATCCGGAAAGAAGGGAGAAATGGAGAATGGACTGCCGTTTGCCCATACCCGTGGCTGTGCTTTCTCATTTTTCCTCTCTCTCCCTCTCATTCTCTTGGAGTCTCTCTCATGCTCTCTGATAGATTAAAAAAAAAGAAAAGGCTTTTCAGATCACCTCCTCCAGGAAGTCTTCTCTGATCTACCCCAGCCTGGCCTTCATAGCCCTCACTGAGAGTTTCTATCAGTGCCCTTACTTACCCAAGTGTTAGGCTGTTGATTTCAGTGGTTCTCGCTCTTGAGGGTAGTGATTGGGTCATAGTTTCACAGCGCTGCTGCCTCGTGTTTACACCTGCGAGCGGTAGCTCATGGATAAATTAGTGCAGAGTAACAACCATGCCAGCGTTGCGATATGCAACCCTCTGTTCCGATCCCTGCTTTCTGTTCTTCTGGGTGTACAGCTACAAGTAGAATTGCTGGGTCCTGCCATTGTGTCTAACTCAGGGGACCTTCACCCTGTTCCACAGCAGCTGTGCTCCTGCACACGGGTCCCATTTCTCCACATCCTTCCCAGTGCTTGCTTGTTTGTTGTAAAGAATTATTTATTATTATTGTTATTTTTAAAATATGACCAGAGAGAGAGAGAGAGTGAGAAACCAAGCCACCAGGTCTGGGACTCGAACATCATTTGGCCATGTGAGAGTCCAGTGCCCTAACCACCATGCCACCTGCCAGCCCCTGTTGTTTGTTTTTAAATAGCCAGTCTCACAGGTGTGAAGAGGTAGAGAGTTGTATTTCTGAGGCATGTTGGAGACCACAGTGTCACTAGATAAAAGCCTGTGTGTGATGAAGGGCAGGGTCACAGACTCAGAGACGCTGGTGGCTTGGGAGTGGCAGAGGTGGCTGAGCCGGGTTTCTTGACCCTTCCCTCGAAGTTTTACTGTTCCTTCTTTTCGGAGCGGTGTAGCCCTCTTCTGTCAGGAGCTGCTGGCGGCAGGTTCCGCCGGGCCGTCCTCTTCTGTCAGGAGCTGCTGGCGGCAGTTCCTGCGGGCCACACTAGCAGGGCACATGTCAGGCACTGTGCCATCAGGCCCTTCCTTTGACCGGGGATGTTCCTGTGTGTGGACCTTGCGCCCAGTGCGATTGAGTGATCTGTGACAGCGTCCTTCAGAGCACCTCCCGTCGCCTCTGTCCTTGCTCTCCTCACTTGAGGGCATGATGGCTCGTTCACGCCGTCATCATTTCAGAAGAAAGAGGTTCAAAACCCAGGCCAATCCTAGCGGTAGGTGTTAGACCTTTTGTTTTTAAAGCAGCAAAAGCTTGTATTCAAGTGTGATCTGACACATATCCCAACGTCTGGACAAAGTCGGACGGCTGTGGCTCTGTCGCGATGGTTGGGGTTTCTGGAGTCCCCCCCGCTGGCCGCCCCAGAGTAGGCCCAGCCCCTTCAGCCCATGCTGAAGTCACTGTGAGAAGCCGGGGCCCCGAGGGGTTGGAGGCCCGGGTCCGGTCCGCCTTCCCCTGACTGGCGTTTACCTTGGGCGTTTATATCCCACTTCTCACCTCCACAGGATACTCACCGTTACCATTCTGGCTCTCTGTCTTCCAAGGCCTGGGAACACACAGGTAAGAGGTTACTTTTTGCTTTTCTAGAAGCAAGTGAGAGGGTGGCCATGTATTTTAGAGTCCCCTGACTGTGGAGGTAGGAGGCCTTTGCCGGTTACTCACTGTAAGCCCTTGTCAGCTGTGATCTGAGACGTAATTTATGAATGACAGGTCAGGGACCAGCGCTCAGTCTCCTGACTCCCAGCCCAAGGCTTTCGGTTAGGTCGCCCTGCCTCGTCTGTGACCCTGAGTACCTGGAGTTACCCTGCGTGTTAAAGATGTGCTGCAGTGTGTTTCTGGGTGACAGTGCCCCTGGGATTTGGGCCTATGATCCCCGCGGTTCTGGGTGTGTCTCCATAGCAGAAGGTCGGGCCAGGAAGTGGGGAGTACTGAACACTCCAATATTCAGGTCCAAACCTAGGAGGGTCCTGGCCCAGGGCTCCTTGGGGGAGCTTGGATAGGGTAGGTGAGGGCTGTCTGGCAGGAGCCTCCAGCATCCTGGACTTGACTGTCTTTAGTGACAGGAGAGACAGAACCATGTGTGTTGGGCTCTGAGAACTGCAGGCAGACTCTGAAAGTGCGGAGTGGCCTCTGGGTCTCTGGGTACTGTCTCAGGAAAGAAACGAGAGGAACCCCACCACTGAGCAAGGCTGAGGGGTTGCCAGCAGTAAGGGGAATATTTTTTAAAATAATTATTTTATTTAACTTTATTTATCCCTTTATTTATTTATTTTAATTTGATCAGAAAGGGACAGAGAGAGAGAGAGAGAGAGAAAGTGAGAGAAAGCAAGCTGCCAGGTCTGGGACTTGAACCGTGGTTGGCCATGTGGGAGTCCAGTGCCCTCAACCACCACACCATCTGCTAGCCCCGAGGAAGGGAAATCTTTTTTTCTGTTCATATTAAGAATTTTGAAAGGTGTTCAGGCCGCTGTGGATGAGAAAGCTTTTAGGAAGAGTAACTTAAGGTTTTAGACCGAGGGGGGAGGGCCCTTGGAGCTTTGGACCCGCTCCGTGGTGCACAGGTGAAGACATGTAGGCCCAGAAGGGCAGGTTACAGGATCGTGTTTACTGTGCTGTAGGCACTTCCCGTAAGGAGCACACCTGCTCCTTACAGCCACCTGGAAGTAAGTACTATCATCCCCATCTGATGGATGGGGAAATGGAGGCATAGAACAGTGATGCTGTGAGTAGAGACTAGAGCGAGAGTGTAACCAGGCAGGTCAGTGGCCTTGAACCCACACCGCACTTAGTTGGAGAGCTGGGGCCTCAACCTGAGTCTTCTGGTGTCCCAGCTTTATGCCATGCCACAACCTCCTGCTCATCTGTTCCTTTTCCTTTGCCCCAGTCCCTGAGCCCTCTCTCAGGAGCGCCCGCCAAACCCATCATCTTCACAAATCAACCCACAGCCCAGGGAAGCCGAGCCCTGGAAGCTGTAGAGGAGGCCAGGATGAGAGTTCCCAGGGTCAGAAACACACCTCCTTGGCTTATTCCTAGAAAATGCCCAGAATCCAGAGTCTTCCCAAAGATAGTGCACTCCCATTTAAAGTGCCCAACGTTGTAGCTTAAGTTGTACGTGACGCCCACAACCCTCTGGGGTTATTGAGATCTAGCCCTTTCTGGGAGCATCTTTGTGTCGTTGTTTTACTGAGGTTCAATAGAGGAATCTCCCCAATTCTACTTTTCTTTGAAAACTGAACTGCACCTGCCGTGGGGCTTTTACTTAGCGTACAGATTCAGAACCGGAATGAAGACTCCATGGGCAACGCGCTCCTACTGGGTGCGGAGGAGGTGAGGGTCAGCAGTGCCTGAAGGAGTCATTGCCTTTAGAAACTGCCTCTCCCCTTTCCAGGAAGGGATGAACTGGAGCTGCGGGTTGGACACACCGGATGGGATTATTATCCTTCTCCAAAACTAGATCGTGAAAAGGCCCAAGAGCCGTCTGCTAAAATTGGGGCTTATGAAGCAAAGGTGTGGGGAGTGTAAAAAGGGGCATCAAATGCGAACTGAGTATAAGGAAAAGTTTACGGAAGGATAAGGTTTAAACAACGCATTGGTATCACGGGTGCCGCTTCTCTTTACTCCATGTCTCACGTCCCGCGAGGCGGCTGTAGCGCTCCCACGGTGAACACTTAAGCGAGTAACTGTGTGCATCTCCTCTCTCTCCTCACCCGCAGCAGCAATGCACTAACGGCTTCGACCTGGACCGCGCGTCAGGACAGTGCTTAGGTATGAGCTACTGGGAACCCTGCGCGGGGTGGGGGCATTCAGGACAGGCTCTGTTCAGGCCCCTTTCCTTCTCAGCGGTTCAATATTGTCAAATCTTTGCTTAAAATATAATTGATTTATTATTAGTAGTAGTAGTTTTCAATTTGCTATAGGGCTTGTGTATTCACCAGAGAGAGAGAGAGGGAGGGAAAGTGAGAAAGCAAGCCACCAGGTCTGGGACTTGAACTGTGGTTGGCCATGGGGGAGTCCAGCACTTTAACCACTATGCCACCTGCTGGCCCCGATATTGTCAAATCTTTACTGGCCTCGTCGATGGAAGAACTCAGGGACGTGGACTGGTTGAAGTTAATGGTCGTCTTTTATTGATTACCTGCTTGGTTCCTGGCACTGAGCTAAGCACGATGCGGGGTCAGAGAACTGATGCCCATCCCCAGAGAGTTCCCCATCTGTATTAGTCGTCTCGGGCTGCCATCACAGATGACCCCAAGCTTAGCGGCTCAAACGGCACTCGTTTATCATCTCAGAGTGCAGAAGCCTGACCCCAGTCCCTCCGGGCTAAAACTAAGGTGTTGGCAGGGCTGCGTTTCCATGTGGGCTCTCTGGGGGACAGTCTGTGTCCTCACTCATGCATGTTGCTGAGAATTCAGCTTTCTTTCTTTCTTTCTTTCTTCCTTTCTTTCTTTTTTTAAAGAGAGATTTTTGCTATAGGGCACATGCACTCGCTGGAGAGACAGAGACAGAAAGCAAGAAATCACCCTCCAGGGGGATGGCCACGCTGCAATCCCTTCTCCATTCTCCTCTTGGTATTTTGGACACTCATCCACACGCGCCAGGTGTGAGTTTTAAGCTGCCAGGTCCGGGACTTGAACTGTGGTTGACTGTGTGGGAGTCCAGTGACGCAACCATTACACCAGCTGGTGGTCCCAGAATTCAGTTATTTCTGGTTGTGGGACTGAAATTCGTGTGTCCGTGCTGGCTGTTACCTGGGCCAGCCCCAGTGTCTAGAAACTGCCCTCGTTTCTTAGCCCATGGCCCCTTCCTCCATCCTAAGTCAACAAGCCATCAGGGACCTGTCATGCTGCACATCTCTCCTTTTTCCATTGTGCTGTCTCTCTGGCCAATCCTTCTGCCTCTTCTTCTACTGTGAGGACTCAAGTGAGTACATCAGGGCCCCCAGATTACCCAGGAGGATCTCCCCATCTCAAGGCCAGCTGATTGGGCACCTTCCTTCCCTCTGTCATGTGAGCTAGCATGGCACAGGTTCTGCGAGCAGGAGTGAACATTTCGGTGTGCGTGGGGGGAGGTGCCCTCTCAGCACACCACCTAGCGGGAGAGGTAGACTTAGACGTAGTGCCCGTGAGACAAGACGAGACAGGACGGTGGAATAAAGCAATTGCCAAGAGGAGGTGAAAGCTGTGGACCCTGCAAAAAAGAGGACAGAGTGATGCCTTATGTCCAGGATCAGCAAAGAAACCATAGAAGGATGAGTAGGGTCCCAAGAAATGGCGTTCCAGGTGGGAGGGACAGCACGGCCAGAGATGGGGGTGGAAGGGACCTGCAGAGTATAGACGAGCTCGCTGTGGAGGGAGCCTGAGTTGTATGGAAAGAACGATGCAACGCACCATCCCCCACCTTGGGGAAGTATTTCGATTTTAAATTGTATTTGATTTAGGCCAAATAATGTGTCTTCTCTGAACTCCCATGAGCTCTAAACCAAAGGGGAGGTAGATGGTTTGAAAGAACAAGTGGCGAGGAGTAGAGCCCTGCCCTGGGACATCTGGGCTTACATTTGGATGTAAAGGAAAACCCTTTGATTTGGAGATGTGCCAAGGGTCAGAGAGGGCAGCAGCCTTCTTTCCGACCCACCAGTTTTACCCCATTTGGGCTTCCAGCTGGAGAAGACGCTTTCACATTCCAAGCCTCAGTATCCTCCTCCTCGAGGGGGGAGTGCTATGAGTGTCTCCGAGGGGATGAGGGAGAGTTCGCAGGGTCCAGGCGTCTCTCCTCCAGCCTCTGGTCCCACACGGAGCAGACTCCAGGCTGGAGAGAGGGCCCAGGAGATGGAACCAGGCCTGCTGCTCGCTGCAGACAGAGTTTGGGCCTCCCCTGCTGCTTCCTCTCCAGGCTGATTCTCTAGAGCTCACCGCTCTCCCTTCAGGGCTCCGTAAGCAGAGCGCCAGCCTGGCTGGGATGAGCCCCGTTGGCTGGCACAGCGTGGGCTGACTTTGAAGTAAGACTGCTTTCTTACCAAATAACCAGCTGCAGCCAGGCCTTCTCTTGCAAGTGCTTCTCCCCCACCCAGCTTTTTTGAATAGAAATGGGAACAAATCTTAGGTCTTTCCAGTGTTTTCAGTGTCTTCTGTGTATACAAGACAACCTGACATTTTTAGATGGTGCACCTGCAGGCCAACACTCTTTAAGTTATATATTTATCTTCACAATTTCTTTCTTTCTCTTTCTCCTTTCTTTGTTTCTTTTCTTTTTCCTTCTTTCTTCCCTTCTTTCTTCCTTTCTTTCTCTCTCTCTTCTTTTTTTCTTCTTTCTCTTTCTTTCTTTCAGAGATATTTTTGCTACAGGGCACGTGTACTCACAGGAGAAACAGAGAGACAGAGAGTTAGAAAGCAAGAAATCATCCCCCAGGGGAAATGGCCATGCCACAGTTCCTTTTCCTCCATTCTCCTCTCAAGATTTTGGGCTTACATATTCACATGTGCTCAGCTTGAGTTCGAAGCCGCTGGGTCTGGGACTTGAACCGTCATCGACTTTGTGAGAGTCCAGCAATGTAACCATTTCATCATCTGGTGGTCCCCACAGTTACCTTCTATTTATGCTAATTGAATGTTCTTCATTTGCTGTAATCCTGTGAGACTGGAACATGCTGGCTAGGGCCAGCAGGTGGTGTGGAGGTTAAGGTGGTTGGATTCCACGTGGCTGACTGTGTGGTTCGACTCCCGGACCCAGTGGCTTGAAAATCAAGCCAACCATGAGTGTGTACATGCCCAACATCATGAGAGTAGAACAGAGGAGAAAGGACTGCAGTGTGGCCATCCCTTCTAAGGGGTGATTTCTTCCTTTCCCGCTCTCTGTCTCTGTTTGGCAAGTACACGTGCCGTGTGGTACGAAACAAAACAAAACAAAACAAAACAAAACATAACACTTGTTTGGATGTCAAATGTGGGCTTGTTTAAAGATAAGGATAAAGCAAACGATAGTGTAGGTTTTTACAGAAATGGTTAGAGTCCTGATGGTAGCATTTGAGTGGCTGATGTTTGGGTGACATTATTCACATTGATTCAGTTCACCCAAATTTGGGACCACCTGCCTGTGATGAGTTAGGGACAGCCCTGGTGTTTGGGAACAGTTGCTGGTGAAATGTGCTTGGGTGTCCTTCACACCACTCTTGGTACAAAGCTCTGCTTAAATATGTACCAGGGGGCTGTGGTGGTTAAGGTGGCAGGATCCCACATCGCTGACTACATGGTTCTAGTCCTGGACCTGGTAGCTTAAAAAACACTGGGAGCGTGTGTGTACCTGAGTGCCCAAAATCCCAAAAGGAGAAATGGAGAAGAGATGGCAGTGTGGCCATCTCCCATGAAGGGCTTTCTCTTTCTCTCTGTCTCTCTGCAGTGAGCACACATACCCTCTGGCAAAAATTAAACAAAAAAAGAGTGCACAGCATGGTTGGGGGGTCACTAACGTCCTGTGTGTGGCCTCCTCTAGATATTGATGAATGCCGGACCATCCCTGAGGCCTGCCGAGGAGACATGATGTGTGTTAACCAAAATGGCGGGTACTTGTGCATCCCCCGGACAAACCCAGTGTATCGAGGGCCCTACTCGAACCCCTATTCGACACCCTACTCGGGCCCATACCCAGCAGCTGCCCCACCACTCTCAGCTCCAAACTACCCTACGATCTCCAGGCCGCTCATATGCCGCTTTGGATACCAGATGGATGAAAGCAACCAGTGCGTGGGTGAGTACCAGCCCTTTCTTCCTCTCCCTGCACCTGGTGGAGGCGCTGTCTGAGCCCAGCACCTGGGTGTCCTCCCAGGATGCACCCCGAACAAGGACTTACTTTCTATGCGCATATTTCGTTCTTAGCAGCCTGAATCGAAGAGCTGGGTCCCTTCCTCCTTTGGAAGTTTAGTTTGCTGTTTCATTCACAGTTCCCCAGAAAGCCGACTCGTTTTTCCTTTATTTCATTTTCATCTCTCTGCCTACTTATTTATCCGTTTCTCTCATCTCTATATTTAAAGGTCCTGTTTTCTCAAATAACAAAAGCATGTGGTCAAATTGAGTCCGTAAATCCCAGTGAGAACGTCTAGAAAGGGACTGAACTTGGCTTCGACATCCCTCTCTCTTGAGTGGAGGGTGTGCTCCTATGATAGACGATGCCTCGAGGGCCACGGCCGTGTGCTCTGAAAAGAAAGCGGGTTCCTTGCGCAGGAGCCAGTGTTCTGCTGGCCGGACGGAGCCCCGCTGGTGGAGACTCATCGCAAGAACAGACCTCTGTGAGGAAGGGGACGCCGTATTCCACGAGCCCCCAAGGAACTGGCCAGGGGTGTGTCCAGTGCCCTCGAGAGCGTTAGGTTCTATTGGCCGGTGTGATCTTGGAGGAGGGTTATCTGGGATCCTCCCAGGTCCCTTTGTCTGTGGTCAGGCCAAAACCTCGTAACTGTCTCCGGCTTTGAGAGATGGTCTAGAATGAAGGCTTCAAGGTTTTCTGAACACACAAGCCACCTGCAAAAACTTCTTGTGCCTGGACCCCAGCATATACGTGTTTATAAATCATATACATTTTCTGTTTTACTAATGTGGTTTTTGGAGTAGAAAGCACACCTAAGAAATAGACCATTTTAAAGGATGTGATAAAAATAAGTCTGAATTCAAGTTGTACTATTACCTTTCTATACTACTACTTTTTTTTTTTTAAAGAGTTGTTTGTTATAGGGTGTGTGAGCTCACTGGAGAGACAGACAGAGAGAGAGAGACAGAAAACTGGTGTAAGTTTCAAGCCTCCGGGTCTGGGACTTGAACCAGGGCTGCCTATGTGGAAGTGCAGCAACATAACTATTACACCATCTGCTGGTCCCAACTCCTTATGTTTAAGAGATCATTGATTTTACTTGGTGAGATTTGTGTTGGTCTTGTTCAGGACTTTGGGGTGTTGAAGATGCTGTGTTGGTTATTTGATAATATCTTCTGTATCCTGATGCAAATGAGTTTGCATTCCATTCAAATATATGTAAATGGCATGCAAACAACTCTCCTTCAGGGCCACCAGGGGAAAATCGGATATACCTGACCCCGGATTTCTTAGTGGTCTCCAAGGGCATGATGTGATGGCGTGACGGTGTGACGGGTGTTGGTGTGTGAGTATCTGTGTGTATGGGCTGGGGAGGGAGGAAACTGGTTGATATCTACCTTGAATGTAGATGACTGTACAAAGGGAGTGGGGCACCCAGTCAAGCCACGGCCTCCTCCATCTCCGGGGGAGAAGACAGTGACATATTCCCATGTAGCAAGCAGCCTTGTGCCTGGAAGGGACATTTTTTAAAAAGTCATTGTTATTTTATACATTCAATCACTATACACCATTTAGCCTGTAGACAGAATTTCCCCAATGCAAAATACACCTCAGACCAGTCCAGTTGAGAATACTATACATGTTATCATCAACAGTAGTAAACCATTTCTGTGTCCCACAAATGTCTTATTTCTCTATTTCCCCCCCAATTTCCTTTCCTACTTTCTTCTCCTCTCGGAAGGAACTTTTCAGCAATCTTCAACTCCAGTCTCTTCATCTTATAGAAAGGGACGTACGGACCACAGTACAGTAGGTGATCAGGGAGGAAGGATGGGGTCCAGCTCCCCTGGAGCCAGCCCCCACTTCTTAACCATATGACTGACCTCTCCATTCTGGTCGGAAGGATATGGTCCCCAAAGAAAGTGCAGAGAGAGGTGGGGGCAGGGGAGTGCTGCGTTCCAGGGCGTTGTGGGGGCCGGACGAGCCAGCAGCCAGCGCCTGCACGTGCACATCTGGAGGTGAGGAACGGGATGCAGTGACACTGTCTCTGAGGCACTCTGGGTTTTCGAGAGGAGGCCTTGGGGAGTGGAGTGGGCTGCAGGGGCAGCTCCAGCTCACTCCTTGGGCAATCCCCTTTTGGAGAACAGCTGGCACTGTCTCAGGCTCTCTGAAGTGTCCCCCTCCCTACCGAGCTTGTTCCAGGGTCCCAGTGCCCTTGACCATAAGGACAGAGCTGGGAAACCTATTCATCGCTGGGGCCCTGTGATGTCATGCCGCTTATGGCTCCCAACCTGTCACGAGGGAGATGCAGAGCCTTCATAATGGCCCTTTTGTACAAGAATGCAGTCTGTGAACCGGGCAAGGACTGGCATCAGTCCCGTCCATTCCAAGACGTTCGGTATTATGCATTCACAGGTCCCAAGTTCTTTCTAACTTCCCTTCACCCCACCCTTCCTTTCCTGACTTGCAGAGGGGCTGGTAAGAGGCAGCAGCTTGGGAGAGGAAGCTCACGTCTCACTCACGTCTCTTTCTAGAGCTGCCCTGGGAGAGAGGAAGGCCTGGGAACAGGCAAAAGGGAAGCAGGGCGTGAGGTGGCACAGGGGTGGGAAGGAAACCAGAGGGAGAAGCTGCTGGGAAGACAAGGGGGTGGGTCTGAGGCTGTCACTGCCCAGGGAAGTATACATGTTATCATCAACAGTAGTAAACCATTTCTGTGTCCCACAAATGTCTTATTTCTCTATTTCCCCCCCAATTTCCTTTCCTACTTTCTTCTCCTCTCGGAAGGAACTTTTCAGCAATCTTCAACTCCAGTCTCTTCATCTTATAGAAAGGGACGTACGGACCACAGTACAGTAGGTGATCAGGGAGGAAGGATGGGGTCCAGCTCCCCTGGAGCCAGCCCCCACTTCTTAACCATATGACTGACCTCTCCATTCTGGTCGGAAGGATATGGTCCCCAAAGAAAGTGCAGAGAGAGGTGGGGGCAGGGGAGTGCTGCGTTCCAGGGCGTTGTGGGGGCCGGACGAGCCAGCAGCCAGCGCCTGCACGTGCACATCTGGAGGTGAGGAACGGGATGCAGTGACACTGTCTCTGAGGCACTCTGGGTTTTCGAGAGGAGGCCTTGGGGAGTGGAGTGGGCTGCAGGGGCAGCTCCAGCTCACTCCTTGGGCAATCCCCTTTTGGAGAACAGCTGGCACTGTCTCAGGCTCTCTGAAGTGTCCCCCTCCCTACCGAGCTTGTTCCAGGGTCCCAGTGCCCTTGACCATAAGGACAGAGCTGGGAAACCTATTCATCGCTGGGGCCCTGTGATGTCATGCCGCTTATGGCTCCCAACCTGTCACGAGGGAGATGCAGAGCCTTCATAATGGCCCTTTTGTACAAGAATGCAGTCTGTGAACCGGGCAAGGACTGGCATCAGTCCCGTCCATTCCAAGACGTTCGGTATTATGCATTCACAGGTCCCAAGTTCTTTCTAACTTCCCTTCACCCCACCCTTCCTTTCCTGACTTGCAGAGGGGCTGGTAAGAGGCAGCAGCTTGGGAGAGGAAGCTCACGTCTCACTCACGTCTCTTTCTAGAGCTGCCCTGGGAGAGAGGAAGGCCTGGGAACAGGCAAAAGGGAAGCAGGGCGTGAGGTGGCACAGGGGTGGGAAGGAAACCAGAGGGAGAAGCTGCTGGGAAGACAAGGGGGTGGGTCTGAGGCTGTCACTGCCCAGGGAAGGAGAATGCTGGGGTTTCTAGAGCGCTGGTCTGACCCTGTGGAGAAAGCACGGGCTGGGCCAGGCGTAACCTGGGAGAACTGGCAAACATTTTGGGAATTTGGTGTCCTAGGAGAGAAGGACATCTCCAAAGGGATCTTATCCTCCACCTCCGCAAAACGAAAACGGCAGACAAAAGCCACAGCAGGAGTAGCAGTAATAACAGCGAACACTACGTAGTGCCAGGCTCTACATGTGAATTAATGCACGTAATCCTTCCAACAAGCCTACAAGGTACAACTAGTACGGTTCCCACCGTTGCTTCTAACGAGGAAGTTAAGCACGGAGGGGTGACAAAACCTGTCCAAGGCCACATAGCGAATGAGGAGTCAAGCCAGAATTTGAACCCATGCATGCTCTGGACGAGGAAAATGAGGCTTAGTGAAGTAGAGGTTTATTTAAGGGTGCTCAGGGAGTCAGTACTGGAGCCAGGATGAAAAACAAGGTCCTTTTCTTGCTCTCTCTTTCTTTTTTTAAAAAAGAATTATTTATTTAATTTATTATTATTATTTTAAAATTTGCTATAAGGCATGTGTACTCATTAGAGAGAGACAGAGAGTCAGAGGGAAAGTGAGAAGCAAGCCTCCGGGTCCAGGACTAAAACCACGATCAGTTATGTGGGAGTCCAGTGCCACCTGCCGGACCCAGCTCTCTTTTGTTTTAGTGAAGTTTTGTTCTGTACAATTAAAAAATATACTTATTTAATTGTGTTTATTATTACTATTTTTAAGAGTTTTTTTGCCTAGAGTGAGTGTGCTTGCCAAAGAGAGACAGAGACAGTGAAAGGAAAAGTCAGACATTAACTCCCAAAGGGGGATGGCCACGCAGCAGTCCTGTCTCCTCCATTCTTCTGGGATCTTGGGCATGCATGCACACAAGGCTGGCATGATTTTTAAGCCACCAGGATTTGAACTGGGGTTGACCATGTGGGAGTCCATGCCACCTGCTAGTCCTCTGTAAACTTTTCTTAATTATTTATTTAATTTTATTTATTATTATTTTTTAATTTGTTATAGGGCATGTGTGCTCACCAGAAAGAAAGGGAAAGAAGGAAGGAAAGTGAGAAAGCAAGCCACCAGGTCCGGGACTCAAACCACAGTTGACCATGTGGAAGTCCAGCACCTTAACTGCCATGCCACCTGCTGGCCCCCTTTGTAAAATTTTTAAAATTGGGGCCAGCCAATGGTGT